GCTTACAAGACAAACAGATTTTGACGATGTCACTGACCAGTTTGCCACAATGAAAACAAGAAAACATTCATTCTAAGACCATAGTATTGAATGTCATTCTTTTGTGTATTGCTGCGTTTTGTATTTAGTTGTTCTGAAAGTGAACAGTTGCATTTTAAAAATCTTTTGATTTGAACTGATTATTTTGTGGTATTGGATTTTGTCTTGGATCATACATGTAAACAGTAACGTACCGGTCAGTAAAGTAGAGGTAGAGCACGTATGAAAATTTAGCTACAGCTAACCATTCAGCATAGGGTGAATTGGGGTCATTGGGGTGACATTTGAGCGGACCGCCCCGGGTGACGTTTACTCTAGCTACGCCACTGGTTAGGGGCTATACCTTGCTGCTAGTACAATGTAACCCAGTATAACCTGTCGCTTATTACTTGGAGAAGAAATAGACAATCGTCCTGAGAAGCTCCCTAAAGAAAAATTATTTGGTATGGCAATAAAACGCTTTGATGGCGGAAACGTTCACTAATGAAAATTAGATAATCACAAATACACACACACCCACACGCACACACACACACGCACATACGCATACACACGCACACACACACACACACACACACATATATATATATATATATATATATATATATATATATATATATATATATATTATGAAATGGGCAAAGTCCGACAATTATTTTAAGACATAATTTATGACCATGGAATAATAGTGTTTAAGCCTTTTTATTAAATCCTTACTCTGTCCTGGACATTGAGTTCTACCTGGATTCTATCCTCTTGGAATTTTTATTAAAAAAATATACATGTTTGTGTATGCACCTATGTATATATATTTATATATTTTGCATATGTATGTGTATATTTAACACTAATATTATCTATCTCTCTCTCTCTCTCTCTCTCTCTCTCTATCTATATATATATATATATATATATATATATATATATATATATATACCGGTAAATATGTTAAACTTATAAAAATAGAAAAAGGCTATATAATAAAATATTCCTCAAGTTCAAGCCAGTCTCCATTCAACCTCGGAAAGGTCTGTATGCCTTGATCAGGTGGTATTCCTTTATGTTGCTCATCATGTCCACATTGGCCGATTTTACGACGTTTTGGCGCTTCTGAGTCGCTCATTGTTCTTTCTATTGGCAAACGATTCCTACGTAATAATCCAGGAAATTCATATTACAACTTATTAGGAAGTCCCATATTAGCGGGGGCGTCATAATCATGATCATTTTCATTTTGTCACTCCTAAGTCATTTATGCCTCATGTGCAATGGATCAGAATCCTGTTGAGACGATCACCCACTTGTTCTAAAACCTAAACCTCCGCATCTACCACCTGGATATTAATGACGGAATTAACACTGAAGTTATTCTACAAGAACTGAAGTGGCATTACACGATCAACATTGTTCATAACTTCTAGTACCATCACAGATGACATGAACTTCCTATGTGTCATCGTAGCTACTTCTGTTGGGTCTATACAAAATTGTTTGTCGTTCAAGAAGTGGACATTGAAGTCAACACCCAGAGGCGACAGTGTGTTTCATACTTAAACGCAATCGTCAGGCCATCTTTAAGCATGAAATAGACTGTCGCCCCTGGGATTTGACATCAACGTCCACTTTTTTTATTTACATCCATAATTTTCATGTTGATCCCAATGATGTCTATCTAGATTTCGGCCAATTTATTTTATTCTCCGTCTGTAATCAGTTTGTGTTCAGCGATACTTCGATTACTTTTTCTTTTAAAGTCTTCAGTTTTTTTCGTCTCTTTCCTTCACTTTTGGTTTCAAATCATTTATGACTTGCAGCTTTTATTACAAACAGTATATGATTTTTTAATTGAATATTTAGAGAAAGCGTTTTCGTGACCAGTCCTTTTAAAACTCATCACAATTGCATAACAAAAATAATAAACTTGGGACACATTTGCAGGCCGAACTGAGTAAAATAATCCAACTTTCTCTATTGTAATGTTGGGTTAATGTGTTTGCGGCCTGGTTAATGCGTTTGGTCCTTTTAGAGAAGAAAAATTATGAATTATTAACCTGTCAAAAGAAAATGTCGCGAAGGAAAGTAAATAAGGAATTTAAGTTCAGCCGTTGTAAACAATAAATGTTAAAAGTATATTTGAAGGATTATTATTATTATTATTATTATTATTTCCTTTGATTTCTGTTGTCTACTCTTTTTTTCCGGGTCCCACCTGAGACCTAAGTTGAGAAATAGCTTCATAACTTTTTCCACTGATTATTTTCGTAAAAAAACAAACATCACACATATTTTACATAGATAAAGCTCTCCGTAACGTGTGAGTTGTACTTTTAAGTAGATTTTTTTTCTATTTCTTTAAGGCATGGGATTCCAGGTATCCCTTCAATGAGTCTATTGGAATCTTTTCCAATCAATCCGAGAACCCCAACTACAACTGGAGTTATTGATGTCCTCATGTGTCACATTTTTTTTTTAGATTTCCACTTCAAAATCTTCAAAGATACATTACAATCTACAGGGTCTGCCATGTCAATACGAAAGCACATTCTGTTTTCGTGGTCTTTTATCACGATGTCTTGGTGATTACTTTGATTGTTCTGTTTGCAATGTAAAGTCCAATAAAATTGTTACAGGTCCCATCTCTGTAACCGGTTCTGGGTAACGTTTCTACCAGTTCCTTGCAGTTTTCTTCCAGTAAAAGTTGCATATTTTCCAGTGCAGATATTAGCCCACTGTATCATGCCTAGTTTTATATTCAGTGGGTGCTAAAAGATGGTCAATTGTTTCTGGATATTTATCACAGAATCTGCATTTGGGATCAACACAATATATCAGAAATTTCCAGTTAGCAAGAATTGGTTCTGTGCAGCAAGAATAAAACCTTCTGTTTCAGCTTTTAACCCTGCATTTTGTAACCGCTGATGGGTTCGGAGTTTGTCTACATCAACTTGTTTGGTACGGATAAAGCATTGACTATGACGAGACTTATCTTGCCACCGTGTCTGCATTTGGTACATTGCATTTGCTTTTGCTTTCTTTTTGTTGTTGCTGCAACAGGTTTGTTATGGCTTATTTGCATTTCTTCACTCACTTGAAATTCCCTTTTGAATTTGTTGGCTTCATTTACTACGGAATAAAGTTTCTTATTTCTTTCATGCTCTTTCGATAGAGATCATCATCTAGTCTTCTGTAGTTTCCAGTTAACTTTGAAAACCGATTGTGGTGGTTTTTAAGACATCTCTAGTTGAACTAATCCTCCACCTCCTTCAGATCTGGACATATATAGACGATCAACATCAGCTTTAGGATTATCCATGGGGTGATCCAGTTAACGATGTTGAAACTGTATTGTACCACATGGACAGACAAAGTGTTTATTGCTAATATTCTCTTTTGTAAATTCGGCTCGGTATTTGACACCAGACACACACGCCTGTAGCATTCTTTTCTGACCTTCTCCTTTATTTATACTGTATTTCTTCTCCATCGCTGACTCTTAGGTATTTATAGGCTTCTTCTTGTTTCAGTTCCCTAATCTTTGTGATACAATATAAATCTGTTAAGCATGTATCTGAAATTCTCCCTTCCTTAAATGTTACTCTTGTACATTTATTTAATCCGAAATCCATATCGATGTCATCACTGAAACATTTTACACTATTGATGAGAGTTTTCAACTTATTGTCCTCTTTGACAAAGAGTTTGATATCATCCATGTAGAATAGATGATTAAACACTTTCTTTTTTTTTAATTTGTATCCATAGTTAATAGTGTTTAGTTCATGCGAAAAGGGGTTTAAGGATAGACAGAACAAAAGGGGAGACAGTGAGTCCTTTGAAAGAATTCTCGTCTGATATTCAAACAATTCGAAGAGGCGGTGCCTTTGGACTGATTATTATTATTATTAACGGAGGAATTTAATTTTTTACTGGAATGTCGATTAATATTACAGACGACAGCAAATACTTTTATATAAATCAAAGGGTATAAATCGAGGAGAGGTGATAAGGAGGTCGATTGAATTCGGTCAGAGGTGTTTAAGGCAGGAATGTGGTTTTTCAAAGATAAGGAAAAAAATAAAGAACTTTTAAAAGATATGACAAAAGAAACCTTGATTGGATCTTAAGATTATGAATATCGGCCTCTACCGATTTCACGGGATGATGTTCGACTGCGGTACCCTGCATCTTCTTTTCAAACTCATCTTCCTTCAGGATATGGGCGATCATGTCTCTCCACATCGTCCTATCCTTTATTACTCTAAATAACTTTTACCTTTTTATACTTCTTAGTCCTTGCTATGTAGTTTATTACTGTTTTCCCCTGATTCATTTGTCTTCATTATAACCTGTGAGTGTTTAATTTTCCAGTTCCTCTTTCATCTTTAGGTGTCCGAATTCTTTCAGCTGTCTCTTTCTAATTTGAAGTATAAGCTTCCTTTTTTTCATATTTTCCATTGTTCATAGATTCTGTTAATGCTAATCCTAATATTTCTCAGGAGAAGCACATTATTGTCGCTTGAAGTTTTCTTTTCAACTGTGAAACATCCAGAAATCACTTTCATATAGGAGATTGCATATCTCTATTTCTGTCATATCTCCGGACGCGTCTGTTACAGAACGGCCGACCTAGATATTTAAATTTATGCTCCTGCTTGATTGAAATTTCAAATCTGTCTTTCTGATTCTTAGAATATATTTCCTCGTATTTTCTATTTTTCCTAAAGTTTGCTTCTTGCTCGCATTTCCTTTTCGTCACAAGAAGCATATCTCTTCAGTCCAGACCGCAAATGAAACTCATGTGTGTCGATGATCAATTGGTAAAGGTGCTGAAAAATGGTACCACACCAGAAATGTTTCCACCTCCCATAGTTTTGTCTTTACAAGAACATAAATGGGGTGCTGCTGCTGCTGCTGCTATACATTGGTTGGAGCTATCCAATTCTCACTCTCTAGTCTTGGGCTTACGGCTATATCACGTTGAAAAACCGGTTCTCGCAAGATCACCGGAGTTAAGCAACGTCGAGCCTGGTCAGTAACTAGATAGGTGACTGCTTGGGAATACCGGGTACTGTCAGCTTGGATGTAATGGATAACTGTTCGTCCTAAGAAGCGAATTTTGAGACCAGGTTTAATTAAAATAATTCGAACCTCGAACCCTACAGGCCTCATTTCAGCAAGTTACCGCTAAGTATCCAATTCACCGCTGGACAACAGTACGTATTTGTTTATAATAACATTGAAAAACAGTAAATGCTTTCATTTGTCCGGCGTAGGCGTTTGAACATACAAATCTTTATCTGTGCTTTGAGATAGGCCGTCCTCTTCAATTGCTAACGATGACCTCTGCCCTTGTGACACAGCATTCTCTACAAACAAGTTTTAATTCTGTTTCAAATGAGATAAAATGTTTTTCAGGAGCTATTTTGGATCGGAATTTCTTTTGAAACGAATTTTTTAATCATCACATAATGGATCAGTTGAACTAATTTGTTATTTAGCATAACGTTTTGGCCGATGTGATCTTCGGTCTTCCCCGGATACTTGTCGTCGTTTAGAACAGGGTGTTTTCATGGGTTGCAACCGAGTGGCTTGTGCACTTGAGTGACGCATCATCACTCAGCCAAAGGCCAATGCTGATGATGACAGATTTATAGTTCTGACTCTACCTGAAGAAATTCTAGACCATTTCTAAATATTGCCAGAATCCTTTAATGAATATTTTACACGGAGAGACCGTAGAAATCCAGAAGAATTGATTTTTATAATTTGGAGAAAATGTCAAATGAAGTTTGATTGATTGATTGATTCGTTTTTTTACGGCTTATCAATCCTATGAAGGTTATTTAAAGCCAAAAAGATAATTTTAGATTGTAAGAAGTTTTTGTTTAGATAATAATGATTTAGTTATACAAGTTTTACTAATTAACCCATATTTGGGGCAGAAAAGGTCGATTCATACCTATCCCAAGAGTATTTGCGCCTATGTGGATATAAAGAATTCAACTGGAATTGGAATTCCACGAATTCTGAGCCATTAATCATTATGCCACCAGCATGACCAAGCTTACAGCACTTGGTATTCCCATCTTGAATGGTGACCTGGCTCGACGTTGCTTAACTTTGGAAACCGGTGTTTCAACGTGATGTAGTCGTGAGCCCTATGAAATGAGGATGTGTTGAAGGAAAATCGAGCATTTGAAAGCAAGGAAGTATTTTGGTACGCCCATTGGATATGTTCCCAAGATTTAATAGACAAAGTACCCCGGTTCCTGATTCTATTAATAACAACATACTACTTTTGTAAATATGGATCCGATTCCATTTTGTTAATTAAGACAAAATCTAAGAATCGCCTTAACCTACTGGGAAAACAGCTGATGGCAGTCAGCAAGAAGCTTCCACGTTTTGACAAATTACGAACGACAAACAGGAGCAATGTTTCAAAAAGGTAGACGCAAGTTTGGTTTGTAGAAAGTTAAAGGATTTTGGTGTTTTTGACTGTTTACTTGATTTGATTCAATCTTTCTCATGAAACAGCGTAATGAAAGTTTTCTTGAATGGCCACTCCTCCAGATCTTTTTGCATTATGCGGAAGTACCCAAGGGCTCTATTATTGGAGCCACTCTGTCTCTTATTTTCATCAATGACCTTCCTGATGTTATCAGTTCCCAACTAGGTATCTACACTAATTACACAATCATTTACTCTTGTCTTAATAGAATTTGTTCCATCAAATCAAATTGGCAACTGATCTCGAAATTGTCCTTGAATCAGTTGTGAACGGAAGCAAGAAGTAGCTTATTAATTTTAGCACCTTTAAAACTCAACTACTCTCTATTAATTATCTTAAAGATCCTTTTTACCTTCCATCGTCATGGCTGATGCTAACCGCCAATAGAATGTTTCATTATGCCTTTTTGCGATAGACATTTTCAGTGACATATTGTACAATGATTATATTGAATCAGTTACCAGGTCTGCTGCTAAGGAAATGAGTTCTCTGTTTTCTGCTAGACAATTTTTCTCCCCAGAATATATCTTGTACATTTATAAACCTACCATTCTTTTTATGGAGATTTTACCTCTTTGCACGTGGGTAGGGGCGGTTAACATAGTCCTGGCCTCATATGCTACAGGGCCGACTTTTATGTCTTTTTTGACCGTGTTAGCCTTTTTATTGCTTTAAAAAACAGAATTCTTTCTGACATGTGATAATAGAGTTAATTAGATGAAAAACCCTAATGACACCTGAAGAAAATATAATTTATAAAATTTGTAAAAATTGCGTAAATAAGGATTGCTAAAGTAGGAATTGTCACTTTTAGAGAAATCGTAAAGAATGTTTTGGCAAAAGCACTAAAGAAACAAATTAAAACTAGAATATTTGCATTGAATTGATATGAACTCGGCTGGACAGGTCCGTCCTGGGTAAGACGATAAAGTACATTCGCGTCCAGGGTAAGACGATAAACTGCGTCCAGCAGCAAGGCCTCTGATCAGGAGGCTTCGAGCAACGTGGAACCACCTCTTAATTGCTGGTGTTCCCAGGTCCGCCCTGACCGGGTTGGTTAGGGTCCTAGCTATGGGCAAATAGAAACTGAGGTAAAGAGCATTATAAAAGTGTAAAAATAGGTTTTAATACCAGAGATGCTTCAGTTTATTAACTTTCATTGACGCTGTCACACATCGAGAAGGTCTGTATGAAGACCATTCTTTTCCTGGCACAAAATGATGCTGCACCATATACTGTGTGATATTTTACGAAGCTGTGCTATGTTGACTGTTACAGAGGCTCACCGAACGGCGTCCTTCAACGAGAAAATTATATAACGAAAGGGTGACAAAACTTTCGGATCACCCTGTATAATTTGCTTATTTATTCTTTTTTTATTTTCAAGACTTTTTTGTTTCTTCTTCCAACATAATTTCTTTCTTTCATTTATTTATTTCTATTCTTTATTTATTTATTTTATTTCTTTATGTCTTTAGTTACTTTATTTCTTTATATCGCCCATTCTTTCTTTCTTTCTTTCTTTCTTTCTTTTTTTCTTCTTCCAATATAGTTTCTTTCTTTCTTTATTTTACTTTTTCTTTCTTTGTCTTTCTTTCTTTCTTTCTTTTATTTATTACTATTATTTCTTTATTTTTATTCCAATAAAGTTTATTTACTTCTTGTCTTTTCTTTCTTTCTTTCTTTCTTTCTTTCTTTCTTTCTTTCTTTCTTTCTTTCTTTCACCAGTCCATATTTCTCTTATTTCTATTTATTCATTCTTTTTTACTTTCAATGCTTCTTGTTTCTTCCCTCCTTTCTACAACTTCTTTGCGTTGGCTTTCTCTCTCTCTCTCTCTCTCTCTCTCTCTCTCTCTCATTCTCTCTCTCTATCTTTATTGACTCATTGTTTTCCCAATGATAATGAAATTAACATGTTTATCGTGACACTGGCCACTGTTTTGTTTATATTCCCATGATCCTTTGCCGGAAAAGCGGGCTTGGCAGTAAGGTGATCAGTTAAGCAGGTCAAGTGTAGGAAAAACAAAACAACAAAACTGAGAGAAAAAAAGAAACCACTGTCTGGCAATCGTCTCATCCTTTCTCCTGATCACCCTCTCTCTCTCCTCTCTCTTCTCTCTCTTCTCTCTCTTCTCTCTCTCTTTCTACTTTCTGTGGTTCTCTTTCTCACTCTCTTTCTCAACTCATATATATATATATATGGGTGTGTAACCGAGTGGTTGGACTCAGGTTCGAATCTCAGCACGGCACATTTGGACAGAGTCTGAAGACCATACTTTGGGTTGACTCATTGTTCATTGATGGTTGTATTAGTACGAAGTCATAAGTCATTGTGACCGAGCTTTGAACGTGTTGGCATTGTTCAAACTGTTAATCACGCCAGATGACACGCTCTCTCACAGCATGTGTAACCAATGTCCGCCCAGCATGTGGGCTCCCTGGGTATTGAACCATTACAAAGATGCCTGAGCAGGAGTTTTCAATGGGGTTTGGCTACCCCTACCTAGCAGACGGACATACTCTAAAGACAAGCGGCTAGCACACACACACACACACACACACACATATATATATATATATATATATATATATATTTGTTTGAATAGATGTGAGTTTGTGACCCTTTCTAATAAGTACCTCGCATATAATATATAAATAATTATACATATATATATATTTATTTATATTTATATACACTTTTCACACACACACACACACACACACACACACACACACACACACACACACACACACACACACACACACACACATATATATATATATATATATATATATATATATATATATAATGGACTATACCGTTGATTTTGACGTATGAGGATCTGAGAACCTCATTCAGTTTTATTCTTGTGTCATAAACAACACTTCAGTCCCACTAGTAATCTGCATGCAACTCCATATATTGTGCAACACCGAGTATCTCACGACATGGCCACAGGAATATTTGCTGACGCTTTTCGCTGTTGTCTTTCGCCTCTTAGCCGGTCAATACGACTGATTTCCAAAATTTTTCATACAGCCCCGGCACAAATATCACCAGTTATTTCTATCCAAGGCACATTTCTTTATTTTTATTTCTTTATAACTTTTTACTTTTCTCTTCTCTTCTTACCCTCCTCTTTTTCACTCTTTATCTTTTATTCGCTTGAAACATTTCTTTTTATGTTGGTTCCCCCCCAAAACATCAATCTACACTATCCAAACGACATGCGGAGCATGTCTTTCTTAGCAACTTGATATAATGTGTTGGATTGGCATATGATTTTACAAGTAGACTATTGTACTCATTATAAGTCAAACAAAAAATTGTTAAAAATAGCAATAACAGTTGCTTGTAAAAAATTTCTTAGATGAAGCATTGTTAAACATAAATTTAGAAAGCTTACCTTAGTCTGGTACAAGGACACAGGTGTAGAGCGCCCAATAAGGACCAATATAATCATTACAGTAGTAATGCAACAAGTACAGAAGTTTAGATATCTGGGATGAGTCTTGACATATGACAAAAAATCTGACACCGCAATCTGAAGGTGCATTGGGATAACGAAAAATGCCATTCAAAAGCTAAGCAAAGTATCAAGAAACAAGAAAATGTTATTAGAAAAGAGTCCTTAAGGGCTATGTAATATCAATATTTCTACATAGCAGTGAGTGCTGGACATTTTCCTCACAGATGAAAAGGTCCCAGAAAAGTGGGGGTCTCCAGAAGGATGTTGAGAATGCCATGGACGGAGCATGTGAGCAATGAAAACAAGATGCGAACTGATACTAACAACCAAAATGAGGCAGCTGGAATTTCTTGGAACAGATAAGGAGGAAAGAAGGCTTGGAGATACAACGCTCACAGGACAAAATGGACAGATCGGAGCAAAATAGACAGAAGTGGAGAGAATGGAGCAAAATAGACAGAAGTGGACAGAGGAGAGCAAAATGGACGGAAGGGGTCAAAACAGACACAGCGGAGCAAAGTGGACCGGTTCTTGGGAATTTGGGATACCACCATGGGATATAGGGACGTTTAGCTTAATTTAAAATTTTAAAATTCATCGAGCCGACCTCGTTCAGATTTCTATTGTTTTTATTTTATCGCCATTTTTATTAAATATAGTAATTTTGTTATGAAGTCTGTGATATGTTGTATCATCCTGGACATACATTAATCATTAATTAGTGCACTCTCAATACATTTTCGCCTTAATAAATTCATTGCTATCTTAATTAAAACTTCATTTTTAAGTCGAAATTACGTCAAACCTATTCTGATGATCCACTTACGGATTGAATTTTTTATAAAAGATATCTTGTTTAATTTACTAAATGGGATCAGTCTCATCTGCAAGAGAGAAGAAAAAAACAAACTTGCCCTCTGTTGGGTACTTAGCCATATCGGCATCCGAGGAAATGGAAAAGCTGATATGGAAGCAAAAGAAAAGTTGAAAATACCATATTCAGACTTCAAAACAACTATAAACTCATATATTCTAAACAAGTGGCAAGAGTTATAAAACTCCCACACAAACAATAAACTTACAAAATTAAACCCATTCTCTGGGAATGGCATCATAATCTCAGACATTCTTGGAAGGAAGAACTCGTCCTATTAAAAATCAGAATCAGACACACTTAGTATATCACTCACCCATTTCTCTTAAAAAAAATGAACATCCTCCTGAATGCACAGCGTGTCAGGAGGCATATGTTGCAAAAACATATTGTAACCGATTGTAATGACCTTTTCCTCGATACGTCATCGGTTTTATAACAGGCCTAGTGTAGAGCAATGCTTTTCAAACTATCTCATGTGGCGTACAGGTAGTTTTGTTTTTGTGTAATGGACCGGCAAGCGAAGCTTTCCAATCTAGCTTTCTAAACCCCCAACTATTATTATATCCTATTTCAGGATCATTTTGAGACTATCTGTACTAAACATGATAACATGATGTTTTCTTTATTCTAAGTCCAGTCATCATTGACATAACAAGTTTCCTCATCGTTCCAGGGAACGCTACCATATTTGTGCCATATCATTATATAATATCATTATATAATATCGTTACATAATAACGATCTGAAAAAATATTATTTTACATTCGTAGTATTATTCAGTTATAAAAATATCATGAATATAATAAAAGTTACATTTTTTATTGATTCTGTAGAAATATATGTGCATGAACAAGGCCTTTCGGTATTCCTAGATGTGCTTCCCACACAGTCACACGCCACATCATCCGGATGGTGTTGCCATACGTATTTTACTTCACTGTTCTGCTGTTTATTACATCGCATGCGTTAGTTATATGGCAATGACTTTTAATAGGAGTGAGTAATTGAAAAATGTAAGCATAATAAATAGAAAACTGAGTCAGATATCCCGGCAGTCTCTAGTGGCGTGGAATGTGACTAGTGTTTCTTTCTTACCTGGAAATTGCCGCGTCCCAAAGCTAAGCAGAGGATTAGGAAAAATAATTTTTTTTGTTAGAAACAAAGAAAAGTGTACTGAACTGTAATGTGATATCTGTCCTGTATGGAAGCGAATGCTGGACAATCTCCACAAAGATGAAAGAGAGACTTGAAGCAACAGAAATGTGGCTCTACAGAAGAATGCTGAGGATACCATGGACCGAACATGTGAGCAATGACGAGGTTTTGGAGAAAATGGAAACAAAAAAAGAAAGTTTTACTCAACATCAGGAAGATGCAGTTGAAATTTTGGGGGCACGTAATGAGGAAGGAGAGCTTGGAAAATCTGATACTCACAGGACAGAGTGAGGGAAAGAAGGACAGAGGAAAAACAGCAAGTAACATATTACTACTATTATTAGGAGGGGAAGATGTAGAGGGCCATAAAATGCCTACGTTCTGAAGGGGCACGGCATATAAAAGAAGTTTTGTAAATTCATACTTGTTGTCATTTTGCGTTGTTTTAATTAAATGTATTTTTGTTTTTGAAGTTGTTTTGACAAATAAATAAAAATAAGAACTTTTAAGGACAAAATAAGCGCCCTTTTTCCGCGCTTGGCCTTGTGTCATTCCGTGATGTAAATGGAGAAATCGTTACATCGAGTCGAGGTAAAAAGATTAAATATTCTCGTGTTCTACGATTCTATATCTTATCAATGATAAAGGTAGAATCATCGTAGCTAAGGTCATACATTATGTCCTATCGTATCTTATACAGACATTGTGGGATTTCTCACCGCAATGGTTAACGAGCTAACTTGCTAAAGCTCTCCTACATCTGGTTCGTTTGTGCTCTCTAAAAACATCGAGCTCGTATTTGCTTGATCATAAAGGTTTGTAAACTGTAACTGTTACTCTGTTAAAGATGATACGAGAGCCCGACGACTGCGGGGGTGGGGAGATCATATCGAACTATATATACACTTGCACTTACTTTGTGCTCGATCGCTCGGCGCAATATCTTTTAATGATTTTAAATACTCTAGTAATATTAGCAATATCTGAAATTTCTATTAGATGAACCATGTTCGACAGTTATTCCGTTTAAATACACAACGTATATTTTTCTTTCCTTGTTAATGCACTTAATTTTGTTGTGAATATTATGAATATTAATATCAGTGAAAATTTCACGTCAAAATTAAACTAATAACCTCGTGTCATGTTATTGACTTATTGATCCATCCTCCATTATATATATATATATATATATATATATATGTATCCATCCTCCTGTATATATATATATATATATATATATATATATATATAGTTATTAGTTTAATTTTGACATGTAATTTTCACTGTATAATGTTTTACGATATTAATATTCATAACATTCACACACATATATATATATATATATATATATATGTGTGTGTGTGTGTGTGTACCTATCTGTGTGTATGTGTCTCTGTGTGTGTGTGTGCGCGCGCGCTCGCGCGTATTTTCGTCTCGGTGAAAGGCCTCATTTCCTGTATTTTTGTCAATGGAGGGCCCTTACATGGAGAAGTTGGTGCCCGGGACCGGAATCTCCAGCGAGACCCTTAAGATAAAATTCTGATAACAACTCCCAAGAGGTTTTTTTTTCACGTCCCCATCATAAACTTATCGTCTGACAATTGGGACAACCATATTATTATTTTTTTTCTCAGTGTGCTAGTGTGCATTGCACGACTGGGGCCAAATTAAAAGGCACTTACGGCTTTGGTCCAAGTGAGTCCAAGTGACCGTCAATGGCTGTCGTACCTCGAAGGTGTTGTAGTTGCGATGACATGCAATTGAAGTGAAGGATCTTTAATTTCACGATGCCAGGAAGCGTGCCTGACGGGCCAAAAGCTTCCGCCATGACATGAAGGGTTCTTACAAGTAGAATAACAATCTGTGTGATTCTTGCCTGGCGGCCTTTTCAAATTTGCCATTTATTATGGAATTATATTCGAAATGATTCTTTTTTTTCTAGAGATTCTTTTGAACATTGTTCGAAGTTATTGACTAGAAATTAAAGATTTTCTTGATATTTACGAAAGAAATCAAAAGATTTTGAAAATCTGAAAGGTCAACACGAAATTCTAATATTAGATAAAAAAAATTTGTCTTTATGTCTTCTTCAGGCTGTTCATATCTATCTATCTATCTATCTATCTATCTATCTATCTATCTATCTATCTCCCTTTATTCACATCTATCTATCTATCTATCTATCTATCTATCTATCTATCTATCTATCTATGTCCTTCGTTTCTTTTCTTTCTTTCTTTCTATCTATATATCTATCTATCTATCTATCTATCTATGTCCTTTTATTCACATCTATCTATCTATCTATCTATCTATCTATCTATCTATGTGCGTGCGTGTGTCTGTGTATCTGTCTGTCTGTCTCTCTAATTCTGTTCATATCAGTCTGTCTGTCCGTCTGATTATGTCAATTTGTTCATATGTATATCTTTTTCTTGCCTCCCCTTCTGGCTCTTGTTCTCTTCGCAATTCGGATTTCGTTATAGAATCTGCTGATATTTCTTTTGGCTCGTCAATCAGACATGATCCCCAACTTACAAGACTTTATTTTTTTTACCAGCGTACCGTTTGGTAATCATTTCGTGATTTTTTTCGTTCTGCCATTTAGAGTAAAATTTTAAATCTTCTTATTGAGAATTTGTACCACTAAAGCTTTTCCCTTGGGTAAAATACGGCATCAATGTTTTTTGTGTCACCTTCGGAAATACCAGGTGAAACCACAATCTTCCGCTATAGCCCACAGAAATCACTTTCTTTTCCGGCTTTACTAACATGATAGTTATTACAACAGACGCTTCTTTGTGTCCGCTGTAATAATTTCTTTTAATGATTCCACCCCACGCAAGACAGGATTGCCACTAGCATGTAGGGTGGGTTACGACGGGTGAAAGTGAGAGAAATGATTGCATGTAGAGAGGGTGGAGGAAAGGACACAAGATGAACTGTGGTCAGGGCAACAGAAGATGGCGATTGGCGTTGCATTTACAATTTTGAAGATTGTAGTTTTCAGGGAAGCAAGGAAACGGAAGGGAAAAATATCGGCTCAGAATGAAAAATCAGAGATCCGAGTTCGAATGCCGCTCAGGTTCATTACATTCATTTACGCAGAAAGATATTTGGGAAAGGTATGAATCCATCTCTCCTACTCCCAGCTATGGGTTGAATAGCTGGACAGACTGGACTCTATAGCCTTGGTTGGCAACCAGTCTAAAACACAAAGAAACGGCAACCTAATGCAGGAATATCTCCTGCCTAATCAGCCATGAATCAAAAGAGACATGATCAAACAAGCGTGTATCACGTATGACATTGTTGTGGAGGATTCTATTTGTATTGAGGCAGTCCTATAATAGGTTCGACGTACAAAACGTTAGGAACTTGTTATTACGCAGAGCAATCTGGTCGTGGTCGCTAATACTTTCGTATTCGACTGACTGTCGTCCGACATCGACTGACCGACGATATTCAGTCACCCCCCCACGAGGGCGTCATGTGGCACAAGCCCGTGGACTCGGCCAAAAATATGCCCATTGAACCCATATAAACGGGTTCTGGGTCGGTTTACCTCCCCGAAAGAGAATCCGCCCTTCGCTGTAGCCTCCTTCGGGTTCCACCCCGCCCGAAGGCAGAGAGTTCAACCAATCAGCCAGTCGACTGACTGACCGACTCCGTTACTCTTGCTACTCCTACTTATAGGTGGGAGAGTCTATTAACTGTAGAATAGGTGTGTTCCACCATAACAGACATTTAACTGACAACACATTATTTTATAGTTGAAATTGGTAGATGTAACCGCAGTTTTTTCTCTCGTAATTTTCGCTTGTTGAACTTTTTCCCAGACTCTTCCTTTCGAGTAAATTTTGATCATTCAAAATTTAAATGAAAGATCAATCATCGTCCCCAGTCTCCTTAATTATTATTCTTTTATTCGCCGCTCTCCTTAATAATGATTTTTCTTTCTTAGATTCTTTTATATTCAATAATCGCTTGTGTCTTAGTGACTTCATCTCCTTGCTTGGGGTGAAATGACTTTTAAAAATCTATTTATCTGTCATTTACATCAGTTGTCGGACTTCAGAGTCATTTGTGAAGAGAAAAAAAAAAGATGATGGCGCATCAGGAAACAGGAAACGACGACCAACTGACAAAATAGGACAAAGGAAATAACATTTCAGTCTTTTCGTGTCTTACCGCATATCTGGGTGTATGTTGATTGATAGATATGAACAGACTGAGAGAGATAGATAGATAGATAGATAGATAGATAGATAGATAGATAGATAGATAGATACCAACACACACACACATATATATATATGAAGAAATATAGTTTTAAGATGTGTTATATTTATGGGGTAAAGTGCTCAATATCAGAGATAGAGCCTATGTAAATATAAAACAGAACATTGAAGCCAATACTCAGAGGTGACAGGCTGTTTCATGCTAGACGCTATCGTAAAGCCGCCTGATAATTGCGTCTAACATGAAACAGCCTGTTGCCTCTGGAGTGTTGACTTCAATCAATTCAATATATATATATATATATATATATATATATATATATATATATATATATATATATTTCAAATATGTCTCATTGAATAATATAAATATATTATGTTGATTTACTTTTATACTGATCCTCTCCTGTTGTCTAATCTGTTTCTTGAGGCTAAGATGAAATTCATCAAAGACAGTGACGTTGTTTATTTCCTACCCAAGTACTTTCGATCTCCCTCAAGGTCATCCTCAGAAGGAAATTACAAAGACAAACTTATTGTAATTGGGATAAAATCTACATTTCGTTGTGATGCAAAAAAAAAAAAAAATTTAAAAAAAATCCGTAGCTACAACGGATAAATTAAACATTTTAAAATGATTATAACAGAGCGAGTTCATGTGAGTTTTCTTTTTTTTTTAAGTCACCATCACATAACCCGGTTGTATTATTATTATTATTATTATTATTATTATTATTATTTCCTTTCATTTCTGGTGTGTACTCATTTCTTTCCAGGTCCCGTCCGGAGACCTAAAGTCAGAAATGGCATCATGACATTTTCCACTGAAAGTTAACACAGATATTTTATACAGATTATGTCCTTCGTAAGGTGTGGGCTGTACACGTGAGAACGATTTTCTGTATTTCTTTAAGTCATGGGCTACCAGGAATTTCTTCAACGAGTTTATTGGAATCTTTTCCAATCAATCCGAGGACTCCAGCTACAACAGGGATTGGTGATGTTCTCATGCGCCACTTTTTTGATATTTCGATTTCAGGGTCCTTGTATTTTGATAGCTTTTTGAAGATTTTCAAAGATAGATTGCAGTCTGCAGAGACTGCTATATCAATAAGGAGGCAATTTTTTGTTAGCGGTCTCTAATAACAATGTCTGGGGGGTTGGCTTTGATTGTTCTGCCTGTGTGTATTGTGGAGTCCCATATCTCCGTAACCGAGTCTGGGCGGTGTTCATACCAATTTCTTTCAGTTTCCTTTTCTTATTATTATATCATTAGATAGATAGATAGATAGATAGATAGATAGATAGATAGATAGATAGATAGATAGATAGATATGACCAAACAGAGATAGATAATAATGTAACTTAGCTGGATAGATTTCAGTTAATTTAATAAAAGTTTTAAACCAAATACCAGAAGCTGACATTTCTCGTCGATAACCAGAATTAATGATAGAAGCGGCTTGTAAGAAAAAGCTAAAGAAAATTCCATAAATAGATTTTATCTACACAAGATTGAATTCGAACCGTTTATCCTAGTATCGGAGATCGTGTCAGTATGAATTACGTGTGTGTGAGTATGTGCACGCATATGTGTGTCTTTGGCCTGAACTGCGCATTGCGAGATCATCAGAACTTGAAACCACTTGTTTGCACATGTGCACTGAAAACCTCATTCCCAAGGTACATCCGTTCTCTGTGTAAAAAGAGTTACGGGACTGAGTTTATGCAAATATTACTACGCATGGATGAGATTCACAAAAAGCAATGTTTATCCAAAGTTGGCGGGATATGTAAGATTGGAAGTGGTTGTGGAGAAAAAGGGAGCTATCGGTCTGATCTGAAAAATTAGGTAGAAAGGGTGGCGAAATTAAAACGAAGGAAAGAAAAAAAAAGGGGAAGAGGTAGAGAGAGAGAGAGATAGGGAGGGGGAAGTGAGGAAGGGAGAGAGTGAGAAAGCGCGCCTTTTGCTTTTTTTTTTTAAGAACGGACGTTGAGTTAAAAGTGTTTTTTGAGCGAATTGCCGAAGATTAAATTGCCGCTTCTAATGGATAAATAACAACCACCTGAACGGGCCGGAAATGAGAACGACATCACAAGAATTTAATTACTTACAAAACACACATACAAATACTCAGGCTCATATATATATATATATATATATATATATATATATATATGCATGCATGTATGTATGTGTGTGTGTGTGTGTGTGGTGTGTATGTGCTATTGTAAACAGTCCAAAACTCGCTGAAAGGTAGACTTATTAATTACCGAATGGGGCCAGTACATTGTAACCGTGTTCATACCTTATGTTTTTAAGGGTTTCTTTTTTATGGTAAGAGCTTTCATTACTTTTACATGCATTTTGCATTATGAGGTGCGGTGCGTATCCTATTTGTGTTGTATATATATATATATATATATATATATATATGAAGATATATATATATATGTGTGTGTGTGTGTAAAAAACTTGTATAAACCCTATTTTTCTCTCTCTCTCTTTCTCTCTCTCTCTTTCTCTCTCTCTCTCTCTCTCTCTCTCTATAGTTTATATAGTTTATATATAGTTTATGAAAAACTAGGTAATCCGTATGGGTAAACCCAAGGAGGATAAAATCCAGAGAGCTCAATGTAAATCCAGAGCAAATAATTTAAATAAAAAAAGACCACTTTAAGGTTCCATGTAATAAATTATTTCACCACAGCCCTTTTAAAAGGACTGTGGATCATCAGACTTTACTTCCAAAGGTTGAAACAAAAACAAACAAATAAAAACAAAAAAGAGAGAGAGAAGGGGGGTGAATGTGACCGAGTGGTTAGAATGTTTGCTTTCTGAATATGAGACCCGGGTTCGAATCTCACCATGGTCAGTTATCGGTCTGGAAGGGTCGATCCCAGCGTGCAACATAAGCAGTAAGTGAAAGACAGGATTGGCTCCGTCGATAGCTGTACTAGCACGAAGTGACAAGTCAACGTGACCAAGGCTCTGAGCGATACTGCGATGGATAAATTGTCGTCTAAATTACGCAAAAAAGAAAATAATGCTAACAACTCATTTTAACAGATTTATGATATTTATCAAAATTACACAAAAATATCTTGAAATATTTAAACTACTAAAGTGTAAATTTATTCAATAAAATTGTCATTGGCTTCAACCACAGCCTGCAGACGACTTTGGGATCTCCTGCAACTCTACTGGGCGGTTTCCTTGTGTAAGTTGGTGAATGCTGCCATAATCCTTTCCTTCAGTTCATCTTTGGTGTTACAAGGAATTTTGTTGGTCTCTCGCTCAACTCTACACCACACATAATAAGCAAGGGGATTTTGCTTACCACACTGATAACACATGGCTCTTGATAATGACTGAGACAGCCGAAAGGAGTTGAATAACAAAGCAAACATGAACTTTGGACAGTTTATCTTAAATTTCGATCTAATTGTCCCACGGGTCAATAGCCTAGTGGATTAAAATCATTGACTCATGAATTTGGGGACTTAGTAATCAATTCAATTCAAATCAGTTCAATTCCTGTTCCGGGTAGTACAGATTCTGAAAAGGAGTGAGCAATAAGTGAGGAGTACGAAAATCCTCGAAGGTTACCCGGATCGAGAAGCGGCTGAAGAAGGCCAGATGTTACAACGGCCGAAACGTTGGCATTATAGAAACAAAGATGTTAATAATTATATTCTATTTGCGTCATTCTCTGCCAATCCAGTCCACGTAAAATATCAAATACGAATATTTTATGGACAGGATCTGTACACGTGGAAGACTGGCGTAACACAGTTTTTCTACATCACATGTTCTATTTAGCTACACAAGAAGAAGAAACGATTTAAGGAATTAAAGAAGATTTGTATATTTGTTTTTAAATCTAATAGGAAAAATATGGAGAAAAGGAATGAGAAAATCGAAAGATGACGAGAAGAAGAAAAAAAAATTGTATTTTCGAAGCGACGAGAGGAAAACGAAGAAAATATGAAATGACAATGAAGGAGAAACAAAGAAAGAAAAAGAAAAAGAAGAGAAAGTGAAGAAAAAAGAGAGAAGAGTAGTAATAGGGAGGGGATCATGATGAAGATTATAATGAAAATGTCACTCAAAAGAAAAAAGTTAAATGTATTGCGATGGAATGTCTTCATTTCTGTTTTACCTGTTCATTAAAGGAAATTTGATGCTTCATTTTGAAAGCCAAATGTACTTTTCGCTCATTTCAATCAGGGTAAGGTAAATTTTATTTGGGTTTCACGGTTGGCTAAATACGGAGAGTCAGTTGGCAACATACGGATTTGGAGCTAGATAGCTTTTGAGTTCAAATCTCAGTACATATCTATCTATCTATCTATCTATCTATCTATCTATCTATCTATCTATCTATCTATCATATTCTGTTCCCATCTATATAAGTACCTGGCCGTCTGAGATCTGTCAGACTCAACTTCCAATCTTTACATCGGCAGCTGAAAAATGTTGCTTGGCTATGTTCGAATCTATCGTTTAGAAAAGCACTACATCTATCTATCTATCTATCTATCTATCTATCTATCTATCTTACACTGTTCATTATCTATCTATCTATCTATCTATCTATCTATCTATCTATCTATCTATCTATCTCAGTGTGGTTTCATCTATCTATCTATCTAGCTAGCTTATATTGTCCCTATCTATACAAGTATCTTGCCGTCTGACATCTGTCAAATTTTTTATCTTTACATTGGTAGTTGAAAAATGTTGCTTTGCTTTGTTCTATTCGAGTCTAGCGTTTATTTGGGAATTCAAAAGCAATAAATTTCTCATAAATATCAACGTCTCTCTCTCTCTCTCTCTCTCTCTCTCTATATATATATATATATATATATATATATATATATATATAATGTCAGGAGTATAATGTCAACCTGTGTTTCAAGGACCAAGAACAGGTGACTATAGAAAAAGAAAAAGGACTGTTATCTTGTTCAACCCACTCTTTAACATGGAAGTAAGAACTAATATAGGGAAAATATTTTTAACCTTTTAAATAAGCATTTCCGAAAAACGTTCGGGTTGTACAAATTATTTAATCGCAACGCAGTGAAGTTGATCTACAGTTGCACAAGCAAACTAGGCAACATTATTAAAATGTTGAACAAAAGAAATTCGAACCTTGAAGAACATGTGCAGTGGAACTAAGTTCCTTTGTAATTGCAGAAGAAAAAATAATTGTCCCTTAAATGGGGCATGTTGCACAAAAGGGGTAGCATATTGTACCGAGGTAGAAAATGACAATGGCAGTGCAAAACACAGATTGGCTGCACTGAGGGCCAATTAAAAAAAGATGTGGTATAATCATACCTCATCATTTAGAATACCCGAACGCAGGTTTAATAGAAGACTAGCAAACTATTATTGGAGTTTTAGAGAGAGAGAAAAAAAGAAAGGAATCCGACCATTAAATGGAATATTTTAACAGAAGTAAAAGCTAGTAAAGTGATAGCAACTCCTGTAAGCTGTGTCAGGAGGAGAAGTTAGCCATTGCAACATTCAAGTGTGGTGCTGAGATGTTGAATGAAAGGTCCGAAATTATGGCAAAATGTAGGCACACAAGGAAGCTGACTTTAGGATTATACGAACTCGGTTAAATTTGTAAAAACAATTATTTTCACTCCTCCTTCCCCTCATTACTTCCGGTGCCGCATTGAGAAAATTGAGTTCTTGCTGTGTTGTCTGTGATTAGTTCGCTGAGTTAACCACCAGATGAAAGCTCGGCAGTCGAAACCGCTGTAATGCTCCATTCAGCGTTTTATTAGTTTAGGATATTAAATAGCTCTACGGATTTGATTTTTCTAATTTGGTATTGAGCACTTTTTAACAAGTACGATTTTAAACAACTATTTCAATATTTATTTACTTCGTTTTATATATATATATATATATATATATATATATATAACAATGGTGAGCATAAGGTGGTAAGATGGGTTACAAGCACAAAAATAGAAAAAGAAAAATAACATGGTTCAGCCTCTGCCTTCTGTAAGTTATCCAACACTAATATCGGACTAGTTTTTCTGAAGCTAATAAACATTAAAAAAAAAACAAAAAAAAAAAACACTCTAAGTAAGATCTTCAATAAGTAAACCATCAAAATAACCTATTCCTGCACAAAAAATATCATCGATTCCCATTCTAAGCAAATTCTATGGTATCAAAAATAAACCTCATATGGATAGCCGCTGTAATTGTAGAAATAGCGAACATTGTCCAGTCGAACAACTTTTGCAACTTTTTTGATCTTAGTGATCTTATATATATATATATATATATATATATATATATATATATATATATATATATATATATATATATATATATATATATATATATATACTAATGTTTTACGTATAGCTGGGATAGGAAGACGTAGCGAGAAAGTCCATTCTTTTTTAATATTTGTCCAAAATAGGTCGAGGGTAGATTAATGTCTTTCGTATATGTATGATTGAAAAGTCAATAGTAACTGACTTAGCCGGATCTTGAACTCGGTTTACCAATTCCATTCACCGTGTCAATAACCATTAGTTCACTTGTACCTATTTCAAGAACTGACCTATTCAGTGAAAAAATCCTAATCTACTCGTGTAGTAAAAATAACTTTAAATTAAAATTAGATACTTTAAATTGAATCAACAAATTTTATATTTCTCGTAGCGTTCTTGAGTTTGTATGTTGGCATCAAGTCAATGGTATTAAGTTTATCGGAAATATATTTCGATGCGTGTGGGAAACTTTTTTTTCATGATATTTAATAAATTTAATTTTAAAATATAATTAAGTGAATAACGACCTTGAACTCGGATTAAATGACATGTTTATTTTTACTTATAGGTTTTTCGAATAAATAAATGTTTTAAATAAAATTATAACTTGAACCAAATGTACAGGAATCCCTAAAACCAAAATTTATAATTAATTTAATAAATTTAATTTAAAGACTATATTTGAAGAATTAGGCTGGCACAAGACCGCGGTGACGTCTGTAGTGAATATAATTGCGAGACAAGCTTCTTAATAATCGTGACCTAAAATCTTTATAATGATTAAGTTGTCTTGTACAACCCTGAAAGAAAAGGCAGCAAATGAATAACAAATGCACAATGAAAGTCGCCATTGAAATTCTAATTTATTTTATGACTAGTTTTACTGCATCTTATTATTGTTGCTATTTAGATGAAGCCTTTTTCAGTAATATTGTTTTTCCTAGTTTTATTCTATCTGATTATTTTAACATTTAAATTAAACATTTAAATTAAACATTTAAACCATTATTATTTTCTTGATAGTTTTAATCCATCTTATTATTGTTGCTTTTTATTCAAGAAATTCCGTTTTAATTCACTTATCGACAACTAATGAAAACAGCCAAACTGTAAATAATGTTGTAATTTTTGACACGCCTCTATTCGCACTTGTTGCCATCTTGTCTATCAAGGACCTTAGCTAAAATTGCTTTAACCAAAGATTATTCGATAATTAATTGGGATATCAATAAAGTCGTTTTGCGTCAAAAGAGATGTGATTTTCAGTTTTCCAAGTTCAAATTTGTAGTTTTATCATACTGTCTCTTCTTACGTTTAGATTTCTCCAGCGATAAAAATTATGAATGAAGTAAACACTCGCCTAATGATGGACTCAAACCTTTGTCTCCTTTTATTTAGTACAAGGAATATAAGATTGAAATTAGGAGGAAATAAATGCAAAAAGTATTTAAAAGATGGAAGAGGCAAAGAAAGAAAAGCTGGTTGAATAATGATTAACGTATTTTCATCTGACTGATTTTGTTCGTATATGACGCATAAAGTCGACGTGAAGTAATAGTTAACAAATTTATTTTGCCAGATCAATTACGACTGAATAGTGAGTTCGATCCTCACTGGGTGCTCCATACTTTCGGCCTTGTGTTCTAGTTTATTAAGTTACGCTTTATAAACTAGAACACTTCGACTAGGTGTAATAGCAAAAGCTTGTCTTGCTAAGATAAATTACAACTAATTATGAGTTCTGTCCTCAATGGGTGAGCCATATATTCGGCCTTGTGTCACATCTAAGCTTTGCTTACAAAATCACCATAGATAGAAATCCGTATCGTTTTTACATATTTATATTACGTGTAAATATCTAAACAGCTTGAATCTAATCTTCAATATATCTGAGAATATTGGAATATTTTCTCGCAGGAAAAAAAGAGCAACAGAAGCCCGATTCTGCTATTGAATCCCAAGATTTTTTTTTTTTTACAGTGAGGTTCACTTTGTACAAGGCCCGGGGGTAACTTGAGGTAGACGGTTACAGAGTAAGAGGCTCAGTTTATAAGAATAGGTGGGGAAGCTAACGGCTGAAGAGGTTAGAATTGTAGTGATTGGGGAAATATCCTCTTGAGAATCGGTTCCACAGAGCAGTGGTCCACGGGAAGATTCTGCTCGAGTGGAACTTACTTCTCACCAATGGAATACGGAGGGAGTGACGGTGGTTCGCTGGGTGTGGCATGGCGGATCTTAAAACTTGTGGAACTAAAGTGTTCGTCTGAACACTTTTCAAGGTAAAGCGATAGAGCAGTGAGAGGCTTACGAGGTTTCGTCTCTAAGAAATGGGTTGTAAGATGGAAAATAATTCATCACCCACAAGGACGCGGAAACGGCTTTGAACTCTATTGAGACTGGAAAATGAGGACTGGGCAAATCCCATCCAAACATGACAACAGTACTCCATTTTCGGTCTGATCTGATTCTTGTAAAGTTAAAGGATAACACGAAGAGGAACCGACTTGCATACCATGAACGGAATGTGTGAGCCATGAAGAAGTTTTACAGAGATAAGGAAGTGCAAGGAAACTACTGCTCATAGGTGAGTTGTTTTTCGGATAGATAACGAAGAAAGGGCGCCACTCTTAGAGTAAACAGTTACCAGCATCGAAAAAGAGAAATCAAAGAGAAATCGTAAAAAGACAAAAAGTTACTTAGATAAAAAAAAAAAAAAGACGGGATGTTGTGGAGAACCTTGATCGTCTATATACGTAAAGGTTATGACATATAAAAGAACAGGAGTAGAGGTTTATCCATTGTTTAGAATTGATTCCCGTTTCTTCGCCTCAACATTCCTAATTCTCTCCGCCCCCCCCCCTCGTCTAGTAATCTCTTCCATTTTAGTTGCATTATCGTTTTGTCTCGGGGTGAGGGGTGGGGACGATTCAAAAAAATTAAGAAGTGTAAATATATAAAATATGTAACTGAATCTATCTTTGGTTAAGATTTAAATGGAACTCATAATTTCGGAAGATCCAGTTTTCTAAGCAAAGTGAAGGGCGCTGTCTTTTGTAGCCCTGAAAATCACCTTTTGAATTCTTTCATTTCCGGTATTTTCTTGCTTTCTGATTTGGGCGGTTTAGAACTATATGGACTAATTTTGAAAGTATCAAACTAAATTTTTACTCGATAGTAATATTTCAAATTTCAAATACAACTGTAATTTTTTTTTTCTAACTGTTTTCTTTTTTAGGATGCGTCTTAGATATCGTTGCGTCTTATATTCCGAAAATAAGGTAAATTTTATTTAAATTGATACAGGGTAAAATTTAGTCGAGGTTTCAGAATGGTTCAATTTTCTAACTCGAGACGAAAATGGTGGGAGTTAGCTTTCTTGCGTAGAAAACCCTTTTATGAACTCGTACCTTTTGCTCGACTGGGACAACGACTTTGATCACCGCTGGGATGGAGGTAATTATTTCAGTCGGGAGGGAGGCTCCAGCAATGGCGCCTGGCTTTAATGTCAAAATTTTGGAGCAGTTTCCGCTTGTAGTGCTAGTAAAAGAGGATGGTCAGAGTGGGAGGAATTTGGTAGCGCTCATTTCTGTAAACAACATTACTGACGTAATTGGACAAACAAGAGAAAAGAAAAAAGTAATCAGAGTCACTCGGATTTGGGATTGGATCTGTCTTTACTCACTCTTTATTTATATCTTTCTCTCATCTTGTTTCGTCTCTCTCTCTCTCTATCTCCGACTGCCTCATTCTCTTTCTCAAGTTGTTTTGCCTTTCTCTCTTTTCAGCACTCTCTTATATCTCTCTCTCTATCCTCTCTGTTAGCTCCCCCATTCTTCTCTCCGCTGTCGTTCTGCCTCTCTTTCTCTCATTCCTCACCTTTTTAATCTCGCTCTCGTTTCTTTCTCTTTTCTTATTCGTTCTCTCCTTCATTCTTTTGTTTTTCTCTTTCTGTCTCTCTTCTAGTTCTACCGCTGTCTTTCTTTTTGGTCCCCCCTCTCATTTTACCTTTCTCTCTCTTTCCTTTTCTTCCTATATTCTGGATCTGTTCCTCTCCATTTTATTTTTCGCTATCATTTCTCATGTTGCTTTTCTCTCACGTTCTTTCTCTTCTCGTTTCTATATCTCACTCTTCTCTCTCTCTCTTTCTCTTGCCCCTCATTACCTTCGCTCTCTCTATTTCTTTCTTCTCACAGTCTTTATCTCTCTAATTTCATTTTCTCTTTCACTTTATCGTTCTCATTTTCGTTCTCTGTGTCTTCACATTTAGCCTTTCTTTCTCTTCTCCCTTTTCGTTTTTTCTCTCTTCGCTTTCTCTATCTTTCTTCTCGTTACGTCTCTCTCTTTCTCCCTTTCTTTTCCTCTTACCTATTTCTCTTTGTTCTCTCTCCTTCATTTGCCACTCTCTTTCTCTCACTCGTTTTGTCATTTTTTTCTCTTCCTTCTCTCTTCTCGCTTTGCCTCTTTCTTTCTTTCTTTCTTCCTTTCTTTGTCGTTCTCTCTCTATCGTTTATCGTTATATATATATATATATTGCTCTTCATTCTCTCGTTTCTTCTCTACCATATCTAGTCTTACCTCTCTCTTTCTCTTCTCCCACTCTCATTTTTTCTCTCTGTATCTCTCTCTCTCTCTTGCTCTTCGTTCTCTCGTTTTTGTTTTCTCTTTCTCTCTTTCCCATCTCTAATGCTACCTGTTTCTTTCTCTCATTTTCTTCTCTTCTTCTTTTTTTATCACTTTCTCGCTCTTTTCTTTCCTCTCATTTTTCTTCTTTCTCTCTTTCATTCTTTCTTTCTTAACATTGTGAGTCTCTCTTTCTATCTCTTTTTCTCTGTTTTCTCGGTTTGCCGCTACTTCTATCTCTCAAACATACACATATCCACTCACTCATGCACTCTTACACTTACTCTCTCCTATAGTCATTTTCTTTCTTAGTTTTTTTCTCCTTCCCTGTCTTTTATTCTTGCGTCTACCTTCTCCTCCTCCTCCTGCTCCTTCTTCTTCTTCTTCTTCTTCTTCTTCTTCTTCTTCACTCTCTCTCTTCCTCTCCTCCTCTGAGTTCGCTTACCCACTACTCCTTCTGTTTTAAACATCTAGCAACAAAAATATCCAACTTCTTAGTGGGAGAAATGCTATCAAGTTTCACTTCACTAGCAATTATAAATATTCCCCTTCTATTTTGAAATTTGACGCTACACAATCTTTCTAATCAGTCTCTCAGCATGTTCGGACATCTGTAATATATATTCTATTTTAACATAACATAAATATTTTATATCTTGCGATGAAAAAAATTGACTTTTAAACGTGGAAATCCACATTGCTTATTAGATTCCATGTATTTACAAGTTTGTAGCAGGTTATTGCTGGGGTCTGTACGGCATCAAGTTCTATAAAAGATCCATCACTTTCCTCAGTAAACGTAGATCTCAACACTAATGAGGTGTAGTCAGTTTTTTTTCTAATCCAACCCTTATAGATTGTTCTGTAGGCACGATTTTCAGGCTTCAAATTTATGTCTTCTCCCGAGTGAAGTCCTGATATTGTTTTTTTTTTTTTTTTTTTTGGTTTTGTTTTTTAATTCTTTATTTCCTTTCTTTTTGGCTCTGTGACCCACTAACACAGACCTGTCCACGATTTCCTTGTTAACATCGATTATCGATTGGATAGCATTATCGATCCTCTTATATTTCGTTTTCCTTGTCTTTTTTTTTTAAATTAGCAGATAAATTATTGAAATGCGGAAGATTCTGGTGTCATCGTTGGGAAGTAAATAAAAAAAAGTCACCATAATTCAGCCCCGCACAGTCTATACTGAGACTCGAATATGCCACAACTTCTTCTATGTGCCCTGCCCCTTCAGGAAATGGGCGATCATGACTCTCCACAACTTCCTATCCTTTGTATCTCTTAGTAATATTTATCTTTTTGCTATCCCTCCGTATCTGTTTTGCGACACAAGTTGATAGGTAAATTACTAGCCTCTTTCCTTCTTTCATTCAATATGTCCTTTGAGTGTCAAATTCTTCAATCCTTCTTTCCTCGTCATGTGTCCTAGAAATGTCAACTGCCTCTTTCATATTGTAAGTATAAGAGTACTTTTCCCCCATTTCCCTTAAAACTTCCTTATTACTTACATGTTCAGTGCATAGTATTCTCAGCTTCCTCCTGTAGAACCACATATTTGTTGCCTCATATCTCTTCTTCATCTGTGAGATTGTTCAGCATTCACTGCAATATAGGAGGACTGATATGACATAACAGTTCGATACATCTGAGAGGCCCCCTCCCTGCTTCCTATCAGCATGGCCAATGCTAACCTCCAAGAGAGTGACTCTTTGCATTTTCTCAGTCTCTATCTTGCATATTTATAAGTCTACCGTTCGTCCACACTTAGAATATTGTTGCCACATATGGTCCGGTGCTCCTGTTATATATTTAGAGATTCTTGAAAAAAATCCAATAAAGAATCAGCAATATTATTCGTCCTGACCTGGCATATTGTCATCAGTCACTCTATCACCCCCGTAATGTGGCTTCTCTGTGTCTTTTCTATAAATAATTCCATCGTAATTCTTCAGATGAGCTCTTCGCTATAGTACCTGAACTTTTTGACTTCAAGCGCAGTACTAGATTGGTAGGTAGGTCTCATCAATTCACAACTGAATTGGCTAGAAGTAGGCGTAAGTTCTATGTTAGCGGTTTCTTTTCTTACAATTTTCGTTTGTAGAATTCTCATCTGGCGCCATGCTTTCAAGCCAACTTTGTTCTTCAAAATTTAAATTCGATGTCAATCGTTATCTACTGTTTTCTTGATTCTTCTTGTATTGTTCACGCTCCTTAATAATGTTTCCTTTTTCTAATTCTTCCATATCAAGTGACCCCTTGTGTCTTAGAAGCAACCTTGCCCGGGGTAAATTCAGTCAAAAAATGAAAAAGAAAGTATTCTTTTCTTTGTTTCTACTGAAATTTTCATGTTTCTTAATACTTTACTTACTTAGCTTTAGGAAGGCATCTTTCGCAACCCAAATGATTTCGGTCTCGCATTTTCCGTCCTCTGTTAGAAAAAACTACTAGATATTTAAATTTTCTTTCTTGACTTGGATGTATTTAATTCATAGTTTGCATCTTGGGCTGTTCCCTTTGCTGACAACCATGCAATGTACCTTCTTAAAACTGATGCTTCGTCCTTTCTTCTCGCTTTCCACTACTATCTTCTGTAGGAGTTCCTGCCATTTCCTTTCTGTATCTGATATAGGCACCGTGTCATCTGCATATCTGATGTTGTTAAGACTGTGTCCGTCAATAATAAATCCTGGTAGGACTTGTAGTTCTCTCATGATCGCCTGGCTGTCAAGGTTGAATAATTCCGGCGAGACGACCAATCCTTGTCTTATACCCTTTCTATATTTATGTATTTACTGATTTCATTGTCTGTGCATATGCAAACAGTTTGTTCTATGCGTCTTATATTTTTGCAATATTAATGGTATTTATCCGAGTCGTCCTACGATTATGGGTACTATAAAATAAAGTATCAATACTTGTGCAGCGTTTCTGCTGAACCAAAGCGGGAACTACTGCGATACGACGTATGACCGAACAAAATTGTCTTTCCTGTGATATCGATTAATTTAGGGTCGATTTTGTCGGTGTGTTGGAAGTAATGAATTTCTACGGATGCTCCTTATCGCCAAGAGATGCCTTCTGCGAAATATGCGTCGCGTCTTGTTCGAAAAAAAAAATCATTCCCCGGGTAATTTCAAAACGGTACAGAAACGGTCAAGGAAGTTTTGGCTCGGAGTTGAAAATCTTCTGAAATCAAAATACAAATACGTCGAATAAACATTTCATTTTTAATGCTTGTGCCAGTCTATGAACTATAGTATACACGAAATACTTGTAAATAATTTTATAAAATTCATATTGTATACACGAAGTACTAGTAAACAAATTGGGTAGACGGAACTCTCGAGGGTCGTCGATAGCTGTGCTAGTACGGAGCCACAAGTCATCGTGGCCGAGGGCTTGAGCGTGCTGACCTTGTTCAGATTGTTGATCACGCTAGATAACACGCTATCTCCCAGAAACTGTAACTAAGGTCTGCTCAGCATAATTTCAGTATAAACCACAAGTTGGCTTTGTGGGTGTTGAGCAAACACAAAATGTGTCTGAGCGAGCGTCTGCAATAGGGATTGGCTAGACGCCCTAATAGATGGGTATCCTCGAATACGAGTGTCCAGCTATTATATATATATATATATATATATATATATATATATATATAGATAGATAGATAGATAGAAGCTTCTTACAGACGACTGATAAGGTACAGCTATTAAGCTTTGTATTCCATTTTTCTTGTGTTCGTATAAATGTTTTCTTTTCTGAACATAAAGTGTTAACTACAATTAGGACGAATTTTCCTTTCGTAACATCATAAAGGAAAACAAAACCCCAGTCGACTAGAACAAGAAAATTAAATTATCTAAATTTTCAAACAACAAACCTTATCGTTAATAACAACTCACCTACAAAATCCAAGTTAGAGAGAACCAATATTATCTAAGAAATTACTTATCCCTTACAAACTGCGTTTCTGATCAAACAAAATTCATGAATAAATATATTGGACATACCACTACATGCCTATCAAGAAGACTCACGTTGCATCTTTCTGAACATAGCTAAATTAGATTTAAATAAGACACACGGAAATCTACCAAACTCCATCCGCAACATACTCGGAGAAAATACAACTATAATAGGCTCATCGATATGATACCTTGTGAGTTGTCTTTAATGAAACTTGTATAAATCAGGGATTACTGCCCAAATACACAGACACAGACACACAGGCACAGACACACACACACACACACACACACACACACACACACATACAAATATATATATATATATATATATATATATATATATATATATATATATATATATATATAGAGAGAGAGAGAGAGAGAGAGAGAGAGAGATGTGGTATGATATATTTATGGATTAAAGTGCTCAATATCAAGAATAGAGCATATGTAAATATGGACATTGACATCAACATATAGCGGCGACAGACTGCTTAGACGCAATCATCTTCATGTCAAGTACATATATATATATATATATATATATATATATATATATATATATATATATAGTACAGGTAATCGATTCATTGGTATATAATCCGGGTGGATCCTAGTAATATTAATTATTAAACAAAGAGCTCGATGTTTTTATTTTAACAGATTGAGTTAATTTAACAGGTAACATTTAACAGGTAATATTTAACAAGTTGAGGCAATTTTTGGATTTTTGATGTGATATATATATATATATATATATATATAAATAAATGTGTGTGTGAATGTGTGTGTGTGTGTGTGTGTGTGTGCGCGCGTGTGTGCATCTAGTGTAAGAGACAGAGATACATGAAAAGCAGAGCTTCCATATATATATATATATATATATATATACTTGGGCAGCAAATTTTTTATTCTACACTTGTATTATTGAATTCGTTTTTTACGGCTTATCAACCTTTTACAAGCTATTTTAAGCCAGAAAATATTTTTAGATTGTGAGAATTTTTTCCGATAATAATGGTTCAGCAATGCAATTCTTACTACTTAACTCATTGCTGCAGGGAGAAGAGGTGGATTCATGCCTTTCCTAAGACTATTTGTGCGTAAGTGAATATAATAAACCCAACGGGAATTAGAACCCGGCACTCCAATTAACTATTCCAAACCATTATCATTACACTACCCGCACATCCAAGTTTGCAGTACATGTTGTTCCCAAGCAGTAACCTATCTAGGCATTGACCAGGCTCGACTTTGCTTAACTTCGGAAAATATGCATTATCCGACAGGATTCGAACCTTCGCACTCCCCTCACACATATCTTTAGAGAAAGATCTGTGTTTAAAAACACTATTCAAGTTTGTGCCACCGTCGACGCACTTCCTGGTCGAGAAGTCTAAAGCACGTCAGATCTAACGAGATTTTTCCCTAGGGAGAATCAGGTTCGAACCCTGCCGGGGA